TCGACCATGAAAGGGAGCCAGTATTTAAACGAGGCTTAATTTTCTAATTTTTAACGATACAATAGCGACGATTATTATTTTAAAAAATTTTTGTTAGGCTTAACATCGATGAAAATTCAACGCGAAGTAGGTTAATAGCGATATACTAATTACATGGGATATAATAATATACTACACTAATAATGGATTTTTTCATACTTTTCGATTATCCGACTTTTCAATTATTCGACCAACCCCAGTCCCCAATTGAGTCGGATAATCGAGGCTCTACTGTAAATATTAAATTTCATCTTTCTGATTAATTCAAGAAATTAAAAATATAACTGATACAATTGTGAAGATACTTAGTAATATAAGCTTGATACATTATTTTTACTAAGGATATTGAATTTAATTAATATGCAGTAAATATGGTAATAAATATATATAATTTTTATTTATTATAAATTATATAAAGTTTAGTGTTGTTAATAATTTAGTATTTTATTAATTGATGGAAATAAAATGTAGAAATGGAAAAAACATTGTCACACTGTATTTTTTATTATGAAATGTACATTTGAATTTTATTTAGGTAGATTTTAATAAGAATTTTTTTATTTGTAGGCTGTAGAACAAGGAAGGCCACCTACTCGTACTTCTAGATTTTATGCAAAAGGTGCTCTTCAGTATTTAGTTCCAATTTTAATGCAAACTTTGACAAAGCAGGTAATGAACTCAATATCCATTTAATATACTAAATATTTATTCACACTGTTCAGATTTCTGAGTTATGCAGCAGTATTTCTGAAATGTTGGTCATACATGCATCATTATGAAGAAAGTCAGTTTTTTAAAATTATCTTCAATAGTAAACTTGATTAAAACATCATCCTTCTTGATGTCTAGATTAGATGTTTTATTAGTCTGTTAGATGTAGTTCCGAAAAGTTTGGGAAAATACTAATATGCATTTTACAGTAGTTACAATCATGAAGAATATTAATTATTTTAGTTTAACTCCAGACTGACATTAATACTGAAATTTCCATTGTTAAATTTATTTTTTGGTTGTTAAACAAAAAATTGTCAGGAAACTTTACATTGAACATAATTTAAATTTTGTGATTTGTTCCTGTTTATATATTTTTAAGAAATATTTTCTATTTCATGTTTAAGTTCTCTTTTGACTTAATAAATTTTGTAGATTCAATTTGCTTACAGTTAAATATTTTATATGTAATTACAGGAATGCCAATCTTGATTTAATGTCATTTTTAAGGTTTTGCATTAGGCGTCATCTCGCATTAATTTTAATAATTATAATTTAATTAAATAATTTTATATTAAGCTGAAAGAAAAGAATTGGACTGGAGTGGGACTTGAAGTGCAACTCCTTAAGATGTGTTGGCAATTACTCTATCTGGTCCTCCAGTCCAATCTCCTCTTCCAATATATTTAACATTACNATAATTTAATAGACAATTTGTCGTTAGAGCTAGGCATTAGGCCCCATTCTCGCATTAATTTTAATAATTATAATTTAATTAAATAATTTTATATTAAGCTGAAAGAAAAGAATTGGACTGGAGTGGGACTTGAAGTGCAACTCCTTAAGATGTGTTGGCAATTACTCTATCTGGTCCTCCAGTCCAATCTCCTCTTCCAATATATTTAACATTACCAACAATGGTTATATCATAATGCTTATTTATTATGCTTATATGCACTTATCTAGAATTACTGTACATAACAAAGTACATACAGTAACTCTAGATTACTATTTAAATGTTAACTGTAATCAACTGCATCAGTGTCATTATGGTGAAATATTTTTCTGCAGACTGGTGAAAGATTTTTTTGTGGACCAGCGGTTGAAAAACTCTATAGATAGTATAATATAAAAAATTTAATAATACAACAGTTGTTAATAACTAGCAATTCAAAGTAGTCATTGATGAAAACATTACACATCAAGGAGACATTAGAATTGAAAGAAACTTTATTAATACAAATATAATGATAATGTTAATAAGCAATTACATTATCATAGCAAAGGAACAATTTTCTATAGGACAATGTTTAAATTAAAGGAACCCTTAGTATCTGGTAGATCACCTCTTGCCTACATACAGATGGTGATAAGATGGTACGAGGAGATATATACAGACATTAGTCATCCTACAACAGATTTGTAACTGGTGCTCCAGATCCCTCACTTGTAGATGGTTCACATCTACATGCCATATATGAGTGAATGTGGGCAACTCATCTGGAGACATGCAGACAAAGGAAGTATGATAACATAAAGACATACTTGGAAATTTTAACTGTGTGCAGTTGAGAATTGTCTTGACAGAAAAACCATTCCACGAAAGGTGACATATAAGTGTATAGGATTTCCAGAACATACTGTAGTGCCATCAATGTCCCTTACACCTCTGTTAGGGTTTACTATCATATGAGAGCTCTCTAGACTAGCACACTAGCAGTGGGACCAGTGTGTTGCTCAATAATAGACAGGATTGAAGTGCTTGCAAAGGTTTGAACAGAACAAGAATTCATTGCTAAAAACAATGTGCTGACAGTCTGTAGTAGTACATGCTTTCCTGTTGCACCATTGCAAACAAAGCTGATAGTATAGGGATACTAATTGCAGAATGTATAGTAGTTGCCATACATGAAAATTTACCTCTGCTAGTCACCTGCCAATGTTTATAGGAAGAAACAAGATTCTGTAGTGATGCCTCCACCTGTCTCTAGATGGACAAAAATGTGATTGCAGCTGTTGTGCTTGTCATGATCAGACAGTCATCTTTCTTGATACGTACCTATCTTGTCTGCTGTGTGTGTGTGTTTCTTAACATATCCACTGTAAGGAACCCAAGTCTGAGCTTTATTTTTATTTTACTTTTATTTTGCTTTCATTATATTTTGTTTGGGGCTTATGTTTAGTTAAGACGAAGTTTCCTCACCATTCACCTTAGTAACTTAAAAATAGAAGAAAAACCAACTCACCGACGAAAGAAAAGCGCCGTAGAAAAACTCGCGCACACTTGCGCTTCCCAAGCGGAAAAAAGTAAGTCCGCACCGAGAAAAAGGGGGGGGAAGACCCCACAACCCAGTTAGGAATCGCTAAACCTTAAAAGAATAAAGCATCCCGATAATTGTTAAAAAGAATAATGTAAAAGGTTAGCGAAGTATTGTCGGAAAATAATCTGCCAGATAAACAAGAAAAATTTAATGTTACAGATAAGTATGTAAATGAGGAGAGTGAGCTCATTCAGAATTGTGACGTCACCTCACACTATAAAGCCTCTAACTCAAGTGAAAACGAACGAGGTGAATTCCTGATAGCAACGAGCTTTGGTGAGCTTCGTAGCAGTGAACGAGAGAGGTGTCCGATAGGATTTTGAAGTTATTCGATTTATGGATTGACGATTATAGAAAGTCTTGAGAGTTTGAGGAAATAGGTTCCTAGTATATTGAGGTGACGATTAGGATCTTTAATTTATAAGAATTATTGTTTATAAGTTAATTCTTTGATTTTGTCGAATTCCAAAGGGGAATAGAATTAAGTTAGAAATAGATTGATTTGAGTTTGTCGGATTGATTCTTGTTGAATTTCATTGAATAAATTATTGTTTGAATTTTACTAAATACTGTATAGAGTTTATTAATAGAAGTTTAATTAAATATTTGATTTTGTTATTGACAAACTTTGTCATTATTTAATTCGGTGCACGCTTAAAGTCCAGGCCTGGCACACTAACGCGAATCCGCGTAAAGTACCCGTTAGGGAACGGCTATTTCCGGCACACGGTAGTGTCGATAATCGTTGGAAAGTCGGAAAAATAATATAGTACTTTACACCACTTCCCTGAGAACCTCTTCAGGGGCCAGAATGGCCCATCAATTTTTCAAAATAACCACCTTGCTTGCTTCCGTACAATGTGGCTTTTTTTTATTTTTGGAAAGTACATGAACTATGTAATGTCTTTGCATCATAAACTTGTTCAGGTCTTCAAACACTAGACATAACTGGTACACTGAAAATTCTGAACATGGTGGGCCTTTTTATAGGCTATTGGGGTAGCAATTTTAAGACCCTGTGATCTGGCAAGCTTATAATTATTTATATACTTGTCTGAGACATAGCTGTGTGTTATGTTTTGCAATACTCACAGTTCTATCTGGGTATATCACTTTGTCAGTGAGTGTAGTAATGGAAATATTTAAATTGTGATCACCCAAAGAAATAAGTACTTAAACACATGCATTATTTTTACATTAGGATTTTAATCCATTCTTTAATATTAATCTGAATAGTTTGTGGTAATAGCAAGTTACTGGAATTTGTTTTATCTTCTAACAGATATTTTATCTTTAATTTTAATTGTCTTAAATCATAACAAATTAGACATTGATGGTATAATTTTTTTGTTTGGGTTTTAAACTTGATGTAATTTTGGCTGTTGGAATGCCTTGGTCATTATAAGTTTGGGAAAAGGCATTTCAATAGCCAGAAGTACATTAAAAAAAGACATATGTTTATATCTAATGATATATCATTCCATATTTGTCTGTACATCTCTAACTAAACAAACCACTTTTTATCATGAAATTGAACATTTGTTGCTATGATAGTGTTTGGACAGCAAATGGTTGCGCAAATAATTCCTTCTATGTACAAAACGACATAAACTAAAAAACCTGAACGAAACTAACATCTCTACTTCGGTGGTTTAAGAAATTAAACTACGCTGGGCAACGTTAAAGTCACTTGTGTTGATTAAGTATTGTCAAGATTCAATCCTTTATACCACATTTCAATATTCAGTTTGATACTAAGATAACATTTTTTCCCCCCATTTCAGGAAAAGTTTATTTTTTGAGTGTAAGTGAATTGAAACTCATTTATTCTGGGAATCAAGATGAATCTCTAGAGATGCTGTTTTGGAAATAGGTTTTTATGAACTTCAAACCATTTCAGATTGTAGGTTATTGTGATAAAAACATCTGACTTACTGAAAGATGCAACAACAGTCAAAGCATCATAGCAGTTTTGATGCTTTACAGCCAACCTTTTGTAGTCATGACACATTGTTACAGCAACAAGAACATAAAAATTTAAATTTGAGATTTGGGGCAACAGATAAAATTATTAGGAGGAAAAGTTTTATGAAAAACTTTTCCTCCTAATAATTAAAGAAAATAGAACTTGATATTTTTAAGCAAAAATCAATGTTTTATTTCTTTTTTATATCCAGTTTTTAATATACTTTATTTTGGTTAAAGAAGTAAAAATTGTTAAATTAAAAAAATATATAGAATATTTTCAACTTTTTATTTAAGAAAAAAATTATAAACTTCATATATGCTTGAATTGTATTAAATTTAGGAAGAACATGATGATGAAGATGATTGGAATCCATGCAAAGCTGCGGGGGTATGTTTAATGCTCATGGCGACTTGCTGTGAAGATGACATCGTCCCACATGTATTGCCTTTTGTAGAAGATAATATCAAACATCCAGATTGGCGTTACAGAGATGCTGCCGTTATGGCATTTGGTAAGCTTTATTTTTTTAAATTTTAAATCTTAAAAGTGAATCCTTAATCATATTTATATAAAATTCTTAAATTTTTTAGGGTCTGTTCTGGAAGGTCCCGATCCAAATAACTTGAAACCAATTGTAGAGAAAGCTATGCCAATGCTGATAGAACTGATGTCTGACCAGAGTGTTGTCGTGAGAGACACTGTAGCATGGACAATAGGCAGAGTGTGTGAATTAATACCGGATGCAGTCATTAATGAAAATTATCTAAAACCTTTATTGGAAGCTTTGGTAAAAGGATTAAGTGCCGAGCCTCGTGTGGCAACAAATGTTTGCTGGGTGAGTGATATATTATAAGCAGGATTTGGAAGATAAGAAATTGAGAATTTACTTAAGAAAATGATTGTACTGCAGGCATTTAATAGTCTAGCTGAAGCAGCGTTTGAAGCAGCAGAAGTACCTGAAGAAGGTGCAGAACCCAAAACCTATTGTTTATCAGAATACTTTGAAGTTATTGTCCAGAAACTTTTAGAAACAACAGAAAGGTAAACTGTATGTTTACAATAATTTCTGACATCAACAAATATAACTTGATATGTAATTGGAATAATAAATTTTATAAAAAGGCCTGATGGTAACATAGCAAATCTAAGAGGAGCTGCCTATGAGGCCCTTATGGAATTAGTGAAAAATAGTCCAAGAGATTGCTACAGTTGGGTTCAAAAAACAACAATGATTATTTTAGAAAGGTTGCAACACGTTCTTGCTCTGGAAGGACACATTCAGAGTACTTCAGATCGTGCTCAGTATAATGATTTGCAGTCATTATTGTGTGCCACTCTTCAGGTTAGTATTTTATTACTGTAATATTATTTTTGGAACATGTAAATTGCTGGTGAAACTGATGTAATAAACTTTCAATTTTTAATAATTTTATAGAGTGTTTTGAGGAAAATGACTTCTGAAGATGCACCTAAAATATCAGATGCTATAATGACTGCTTTGCTACAGATGTTTAATTCTACTAGTTGTAAATCAGGTGGTGTACAAGAAGATGCACTTATGGCTGTGTCTACGTTAGTCGAAGGTGAGATACAATATTTGATTTCTTCATACTTGCATTAGGTGTACACACACCACTATGACATACACATAATGACTTTCCTATATATTGCATTTATTCAGAAAAGTGCAAATTAATAGATTTCGGAAGACAAAATTCTCACTAGTTTGTTAATTAAGATGTTCTTTGTTTAGGATTAATACATTTTCTGGGAAATTCTCTACATACTATATACAGTATATAGTTACAAAATTCTATATGCATTTCTTGCCAAAAACTTTCAGTTATAGTTGTTTGTCTTTTTTAGTTCTTTGAATTTAAATTACTTAAAAACATCTTTTTGGAAGCTATACTGGCAGCTCTTTTTTGTTTTCTCTTCTGTGGTGTCTTCTTTAACTTGAAGTAACGCGAATGCTGAAATGAAAGATAATATGTGAAGCATAAATGAAGATTGTTCAGTTTTAATAATGACACTATTCAAATTGCAATGGCATTTTTCTCTAGTGGCCAAGTGGATGAAATCACTAAATTCTGGTACTTGGTTACAGATTTGCACCTTGCCAACAGGCTGACCATTAAAGTTTTCCATTTTCTTCTCATGCATAGCACTGAGAGGCCACTTTTCTATAGAAAATCCTCCCAGGAAGCACTGTCTTTGTGGATTGTCTTATTTCATCTATCCGAATGATCAAATGTGAGTGTAGTGATACAAAATGTTTCACTAAAAAGTGAAGTTAGCTAAAAAAAATTGTCTAATAAATCTTTTTCTCAGATTTCTTTGTTAATTGACAATTTCCATTGAATTACTGGAAGTACTGTTAAAAATGAACCAAAAGTTCATGTAAATAGAAAATGATTGGGATCTGCAGAAAAGTTTGTTAATTAGGCATAAGCCTCATTTATATAATTGAAGATATTGTTAGGAGTTTAATGTTTATGAAATTAGTAGTTTCCAAATACTAAAATTAAAATACACTATAAAGACTTTAGTAATCAAATTCTAATTGCAATTTATCATTAGCTTTCAGTAAATAGGAACAATTGCTGCTTTTGTGGATGAGCATGATTAATAGTCATGCCAATGATCAATAATGTGATGCAAGCAGTTAGGGTAACATGCATTTATTAATTTGAAGGATATTTTGGTAGGAAGGAAAAAATGATAATTTTCTCATATTTAATTTCACCGTGAAATATTTTGGAGAGGCAAAATAGCTTAGTTCTGTGGCAAACATTTCAATTTCTAAAATTTATTTAAACTGGAGTATAAATACAACCAAACATATGAATTGATAAAACAAATATATGGTAATGATCTTTGTAACTGATTTGTGTTTGAGGAGGTTAGAAGGAACTTTCAGGAACCAAATACAATGAGGTTAATCATTTTTTGATAATGATAATCAAGAATTTTTTTGCTAGATCAGACAGTGAATAAGTGGTTAATGCAATGACTGATTTTACAAAATTGGTGATTTTGAAGTAAATTGTCTTTATAATGTGAGTAGTAATAAACAATATATATATATATATATATAAAACAAGATCTATTTAGATTGCTAATTTGATTTATACCTGTATAATACAATCAAGCAGTCCAGTTTGGATTGAAATTATTAAACTGAATTAATAAGAGATTAATAGAATCTAAATTTCTCAAAAGTATGTGGTGATGAATTGTGTTTTATAATAAGCTTTTGGCAAAGCATATAATTTCAGAATGAAATTGTTTCCTTTATTTCACTTATTTAACTCCTGCAAGTCATTTCTTGTTTTCCAAAATGAAAACTAATGTTATAAAAAAGGCAATTTAAAAATAGTGTCCTTTTGGAATTGCTAAAAAATCATTTAACAAATACCAGTGAGTACAAGTGTACACGTAGCATTTCCAGGAGATAACTTTAAGTAACAGTAGAGAGGTTGCAGCTGACATTTTCATTGCAAAAACATGTACATCAAACATTCAGCGCTGCCTTCCTGTAAGCCTAGAAGTTTGACAATTGCATTTGGAACATCAGTGGAATTATGCTCGATGTTCCAAAAGGCCATTGCCAAACTTATAGGCTTACAGGAAGGCGGTGCTGAACATTCGACATACACATTTTCATGATGAAAAAATTGGCCGCAACCTCTCTAATAAAGATTTTTTGATTGCTAGGTGATTTTCTTTTAAAATTTCACTCTACAATATTTTATCATAGAATCTTTGTGAATTAATATTAGTATTCTGGACACTAACTGTAGAATTATAAGTGTCATTATGTATATCTAGCATAATGACACACATTTTAAAAGCTTGGTAGATTGAAAAGTGTGCTGTCTGGAATCTCAATATTGCAAAACATTTTTAAATGGTGGCAATGAGCATGGAAATTATTTGATGATGCAAAATTTTAACAAGATAACTTCCAACAGACAAAACAAAATTGTAATCTTGAATATTGCAAGTTTTTTTCTTTAAATGTCATTCAGACACTAAAATTCTAAGTTTAAAAATTAAATTATTGGAGTAAGAAAATTTAAAAGGAAATTGCATATCAATCAGATAAATCTTTTAATTATTTTTATAGATTGTCTTTATTTTATGCTAGTTGATAACACTGGTTTCAAATTTTCCTCAAAATATCTTCTTTCAACAAGGTGTTGAATATTTTTTTGTAAATGCACAATGCATATTCTATGTAAAAGAATTAGAAAATCTGGTATAACATTTAGACTTGGAGATGGATGATGATGAGCCAGTGCATTTTGTAAAGACAATAACTACTGATGCCCTTAAACAATTGAAGAGTATTGTAAAATGGACTCTAACTAGGAGCAAATTTAGGAGTTGCTAAAATTTTGAAAAAAGATGCAGTTTGCATATTGTGATTATATTTGCATATTTATTGCCAATTTTTAAAATTTGAATGTTTAGTTTTTCTGCTTATTTGATCTGATTCGAATAGTAATTTATTGTGCATTAGTCTGAATAAAATGGTGTAATTAGGTAGATTTTTAATCCAAGAAATGATAAATAAATTTTCCTGTTTAATTATTAAATTTTAAAACATTTTAACCAAATTCAATACATTAAAGTAAATTTATTATTTTACCACTTGCCAAAAGTGGTTATAAACATTTGATATTTAAATATCGAATGTTTATAGCTTTATTGTATTTATAATTTGGCCTCTGATGTGTTTAAATTCATCCTCCACTTGCAAGAATAACTTTGCGTAAATGAGAATATATATAATTGTGTGTGTGTGTTGCTTTAACTCCATGGTTTTGTGAAAAGTTTGAGGAACACATTAACAATGTGTGATTAAAAATTGAATATTTTTAAATTCTGGATCCGGAGGAACAGTAATGCCAATTTTACTAAAATTTCATTTAGTGCACAAAGCTACAGAATTAGTGTCATAATGTGATTAATTTTTTTTATTTTGATGAATTTACTTTTTATAAAACAAATTGATAAGTAATTTTCTGTTTTCCAAACATTATTCAGTGCTCGGTGATAAGTTCCTAAAGTATATGGATGCTTTTAGGCCATTTTTGGCCCTGGGATTGAAGAATCATGCCGAATATCAGGTGAGTTACTTTATACATTACTCGAAGATGTAACCGGCCAAAGTCTTGATTTTGAACCTTTTGTCTCAATTTTATATTTAGGTGTGCACCGCCGCCGTGGGTCTGACGGGCGACATCTGCAGGGCTTTGGGTCCCGTGGTGTTACCGTACTGCGACGACGTGATGACCATGCTCTTAGAAAACTTAGGGGTGAGTAGTGCATTTCATATTTCAAGGGATCTGGAACGAATTTCTGGGTGCTGATTTACTTTAATTTACAGAATAACACCGTGCATCGATCGGTCAAACCTCAGATTCTTTCAGTTTTTGGAGATATCGCCTTAGCAATTGGTACGGAATTTAAGAAATATTTAGACATCGTGCTTCAGACATTGATGCAGGCTTCGCAGGCTCAAGTCGACAAGGTAACAGTTTAAATGTAGAAGATAATTTTGTAACGTTTCAATGATTTGTATATTTAAATATAAATTTCTCTTGTAGTCCGACTACGACATGGTGGACTATTTGAACGATTTAAGGGAAGGTTGTTTAGAAGCATACACGGGAATAGTCCAGGGATTGAAAGGAGATCAAAACACTCCCACTCGTAAGTCTAAATAAAAGGAAAGTTTATTGAATTTGTTTTCGTCGTGTTGGATCATAATGTTAACGTATTTTTTCAGCCGACGTACAACTCGTCCAACCTCACGTACCGTACGTAGTCCAGTTTATCACCCACATTGCTCAGGATCCCGATCATTCCGACACAAACATCGCCGCGTGTGCGGGTCTCATCGGGTATGAATTTTTTCAGAAAATTACAGTTATCCCCCCTTTTTTTAAAATTTATATCTACGAAAATAACTTTTACAGTGATTTATGCTCTGCATTCGGTTCCAATATGCTCCAGCTTTTGGATAACGAATTGATTAGCGATCTGTTATCCAAAGGACGGCGTTCCAAGGTTGCAAAAACAAAAACATTAGCCACTTGGGCAACAAAAGAAATTAGAAAACTTAAAAGTGCAGCATCTTCATGGTATGTTGTTTCGGAAGCACCAGGATCTTTCGGAGGCAGTTTCCAAAATGCCTGAAATCTCTCTCTCTCTCTCTCTCTCTTTGCAGATTGTTTCGATGACCGGACGTCGATGCCGTAAGATACCATCTGTTGCGTGCTGCGAGGCACCGGTTGGCTGTCACGACTGCCGCAGGAGGGGCAGTGCCACTAGTGTTTAAAGACAAGAGAGCGAGAGTGTGTGTGCATGTGCTCCATCCTTCACACCTTTCTGTAACTCCAGGATAAAAATCAGCTTTTTTACTCTAGCCAATGTGATGATGATTCCTTTACTTCTATTCTTTGAGTCAGCCCACGGCTGTGTTCAGAGGTGGAAGACAGGGCACTTATGTTGTTTCGGCCTTCCTAAGGCATGCAGGTGCTTATACCAAACGGGCAAGTCGTTGTAGAAGAACGGGAGAGACAGCAGGTCTGTTAAAACCCATATCTCCAGTTCGTTCCTCTGAGGATGTACCGTTTTGCGGAAGTGCCTTTTTCAGGTGCAGGTTTTGCAACATCTTGCCTAAGATATACTTCAGTTCCATCGATCATCTCGAAGCATCTGCAAGACCCAAAGAGGAAAAAATTACGATACCGGCAACTGTAAAAACAAAATTTCTTCGATTCTCACAAGGGTAACTGTAAAAACAAATTGTTTTCAAAGATTTTTTTGGAATCGTGTTGGGATTTAAAATCGCGGACCAGTAAAACGAGGGGAAAACATTCGAAAGGGGGAAACCAAAAGTTTGTAAATTATACCAACACTTTTATTATGCAATTTAAAATTCGAAAAATATTATTTGAGGAGGCAGCTAACCAATTAATATTTTTACACTAATTTGTAAAAAACAACAACAAATATAATTGTTCGTTTGGAGTCTTGTAAAAAAGAAAACAACAATAACAATGTCAAAAGTTAATTTTTTTTTCTTTCGTTGTTTTAAAACGTGTGACAAAATTTAAGATCAGTTACCCTTAACTTTTCAGTTTTATACCAAACGAGAAAAAAAATCAACACAAAAAAAAATGCCAAATAATGTATGATATCGTTCATGTTGCCTGTATTTTAATGTATAAAGGAGTATATTTCTGTATTAATCAGCAGCTATGTAGTACCTCTAACCTAAGTTGGCCAGTGTTTAGCCCTATCTTTCTTACCATTTCCTGCACATCACTTGATTTTTAATTATTTCGTTTTTTTGTTTCTCTTCTTGTCAAAAAAAAGTGATGTTCTTCAGTTTCACTTTACCTTCATGTGTGTGAGTGGGTGTGTGTAGCAGTCTTCTTTTTCATTCTGTTATTGCCTTGTTCCTTACTCGATTCCCATAAGTAGACAGTAAAAAAAAATAAAAAATTAGACAAAGCTGCAATACTTCTTTGTGTCGTTTTATTATACGCAAAACGCGTTCCACTCGGTAAGGATTTTTTTTCGTACGTGACGAAAAACTAAAATTTCGAAGTTTTAGGTGTATCGGAGCGGGTTCGGACTATTTGCATACACGAGGACGCGCGTGCGTGTAACGTCACTCGGTCGAGACTAGTTACGTAAGAATGAGATTGGAGAAGGTTGGTTGTATAGACACCAGATGGCGGTAAGAGCGGGTGGCGGGTCGACTAGACGGAAGCGGGAGACGTGCCGCTAGTGCGAAAAAAAAAAATAAACGCGCATCGATTGGGGATGCGAAGTGACGTGTCGTATGTTCCCGCACGTCGCCGTGATCCACTTTCGCCCCTCTTGTTCCATTTGCCATCCCGTAGACAGGAAACAATCGCCAACTCGGGGTCAGGTGAACAAACGGAACACCGGATAGAAGTCGTCGGACAGGTTTTTGGCGAACCAGCCCCGGTTCACCACTCGTTACAGTCGGACTCGGACGCTTTTTGTGGTCAGGTGATTCGCGGCGCACGGTCGGGGGATGCACTTCCTGTGTCCACAATATGGATCCGGCGTGACAAAAGACGTTTAAATTATAAAGACCACCCCGAGATCTCGAACGGTAATGCCGGATTGCCAGGGGAAATTGTCGGCACCGATTACGTCTGGAATTCCTATTTAAATATAACAGCACTACGCTTTACGGATACGGGATATATCAGGTGAGTTTCTTTGTTTGGTTGTCGTGCCGAAAAATCTCTCCCGGGCCACCGAAATTAAGTTGGAAGCGGTAGCGTGGAAGTTAACCGACACCTGTTGATACCAAAAATGGATGAAGGATCGGAACGTGCTCTAGGTTTTTTAGTTACGGTAGACCTCGTACTTGGTCATTACGCTCTCGTTTCGTACGATATACATGGCTGGATATATCCGACATTGTTTTAGATATTCGTGGGAATAATCGGGTATACTTCCTGCCATTATTTACCACCGTCGGTACGAAGTTTCGCGTGTTGGTTCCTTCTCGCAGACGTCCGAAAATAAATACCGGATATCTTCGAATATCCGAAAATTAAAAAAAAACCGTTATTACGTAATCCTTAATCGTTATTAGCATCCTCGTTAAAGTACCCGAAGGATGTCGATATCCAGGATTCTTTGTGACGATTATAATGGAAAAACAAGTGGGTCAAAAAGCTGCCTTCAGCATCTCTCTTTTTTCCCAAACTTTAAAATCACGCAAAGTGCCAAAAAAATAGCCATTGTGAACCTTTGTTTCAAATTCAGGAAGCGTTAGGGGATAATCGAATACGATCCGACTTTAATGATATCTGATGATAAATACCACTTTCGTTTAAATGCCTTTTTTATTATTGTGGTATGTTTGTCGAAATTTGTTAACGAGAGACCCGTTTTACGAAGTGACATCATCTCCACATGCCAGAGTCGAATAAACTTGTCTTTCCACCCACAGTATACTCGTTCACCTTCAAGATGTGCAAAAGGAAATGCTTTTGATGTCTTTCAATATAATTATCGTATCCGAAACGTCTTTTTTTTATTTGCCCCCTTCCGTAGACGTACAAAGAATTTTCGAACAAAGAATCTGTTTAGACTTGTTAAACTCTTCCACTATTTTGAATCGGCGATGACAAAAAAAAAGAACCACACCCGCTCCGTAACAATCGGGAGGAAAAACAAATCGGAGGTGTAGTCTCTGCTTGTTGTTACAGTTTTGCGAGGTTACGGTCGCGTTTTAGGCGACGAGGAAATGTATTTAGTTGAGGTAAGAAGGGTGGTAAAGACAAAAAAAAAAATGTTCTGTAGAAGCACCGTAAAGGTGTTTAACTTGTTACCGACAGATCTGGTATTAATTAAACGATCAGAACGGAATTAGTCGAGAATAAAATGAGTTAAGAGTAACGCGGAACAAAAGACGTAGACGTTACGCTTATTTACGGTTACGTCCGAATGTGGAACACCGGAAACTTCTATTACAATCAACGTTTAAGTGAAAATTGGAAATCTCGCGAACAAAAATGTAGATGTACGGAGTGATACGGAAGCTGGGAAAAACGGTTCTGGTGGGATAGTTCTGTGATAAGGAAGTCGAGATAACGTCTCGAATATAGCAATTCCCGTTATTCGATGAATAATTTACAATTCTTAGCCATTATATTTATATTTGCCACAGGAAATATCAAAGTTCGGCCCTCTTACCCGAGCGACTCGTTGGGTGAACAATAGAGAAGCCATCTCGACCGTCTTAATAACGATTTTAAGACCGATCCCGGGACAATGTTGGTTATTAACCCACATCCTATGTACGAAACGAACCACTGAATAGAATGAGGGCAATTATCGAAGACGAGGAAAGCGGTATTGATGTACCAGGACGTTATAAAGAACTTTTTGTTCTTTGCTCACCAGACATATCTAGCACCGACTCGATAAGCCATTATACCAGTAAATAGTAAAACGTTTATATATATCCTACAGGGAAAAAAAGGGGTACAGTACACACACACACATATATATACCAGCGCGCGCGTACACTAATCCGGTTTTTAATATTTTATACAGGTGTAAAAAAAATTATATAGGTGCAGCTGGTGTATAACGGCACCACTAGAAATAGAAACCGGCACGTACAATATATATATTTATGTTGCGATAAACGTGCCACGAGTCGCTAAAAGGGCGTGACGGTCGTGTACGGTTCACGCTATTATCGATTTTTGCGAATTTGAAAATTCTCCTCCCGATTCACTTTTTGGTGATTGTGGTAGCTTCCGGGATCGGTTATTCTTGCCGTAAAAGAATCGTTTGATGGGTCATGGCCTGCCAACCGGTTCCCCTCCACACGATCCACCACAGTTTATGCTCGACTGTCTTTCACTTCTTTAACCTGTTGGTGCACAGGTGGCCAGACCGAGGAAAAACATTTTCTCGTAAGTCAATCGCCCTTAATGGAACCACTTTCCGCCTCCTCTCTCGATTATCCGTTCTGGGTATCGTCCGATTTCAACGACGAATTGGAATCGTAAGAAGGGGGGATATATTATAGATTGGCTGGAGGAGAATCAGTGCGAGACGAGAAAATGACCGTAAATTAGATTTTTTTAAAATCGTCTCAGTCAGTGAAACTCTATGTAACTTTTGTAATTCGATCGTGCTTCCTCGATTGTGTCATTTTGTATAAACTGCTGGACGAAGAAAATTAACCCCCCGCCATTTGATAGATTTTTCGTTAAGAAGTTTCTTTGTCTATTTTTACCCGAATGCAAGCGGATTTTCCGGATATAAATCAGAAATAACGAGATAAAAAAGGAAACCGTACACAATACTCGATTGTTTGTATAGGAGGTTAATTTTTCGATAGCTTTTTTTTGCCAAAAAAAAGCTATTTTAATTAACCGAAAAAAAGGTACGACTTCTTATACGGGAGACCGTGCGTGCGAGGTGAAGTTTCTTGAACTTCTTAACCCACTAGAGGTGGTGTCAAGGAGTAAAGTTTGTTGCTCTCTGCACGGATAAACGGCAAATTAACTGATTAACGAACTAAAAAAACAGGAGTTAAATATACATCGCGTGAATGGTGTTAAATAGTTCTTTGACTACGATGGATTATCGTCACGTTGCGGGCAAAAATCGAGTGTCATATACCTTATTACCGCGTAGTAACTAGAACAGTTGCCGCGCAGAAAAATAGGCATAAATTCTGAGAATTGGTGGGCGAAATTTGCGTATGAGAAATTGTAGTGGTGCGTAAACGCTTTCCTGGTGGAAGCAGTAAAAGCTTAGGAATGCTTCTTTAATAGACAACAATGCGAGGAAGGTGGTGCGCCATATAATGTAAATTGGCAATGGAAGCAACCATGCACATCTCTTAGCCATTACACATTAGTCCTTAACCTTTCAGGAATGAAAATCGGTTTCGGTTGGACGAAGCTGGACCTGGGTTTTTATATCATATTAAAGACCGCAGATTACAATAGGATATTTTTTTAATGTTTAGAATATATTCATCTATATATATATATATATAATACATTTGTATAGGGAAAAAAACAATAGTTAATTTACTACAGTTAATTTCATCTGTTTTGCTTTCGTTTTGGCTTCGATAATGTAATGGGAAAGAGAATTAAATTGTAAAAATTAATGAAATTCCTCAAGAAATGACCCCCCGAGCTAGTTTAACTGTCCGTGAACCGACATCGTTAGGATTTTTAACTTAAACGATGCCTTGTTATATGGAACAGATCGTGGATCGTGTAAGATTAGCATTTTGTGTAAACTAGGTTACAAGCAAGCGGTGTTAACTAGGCTACAATAACGATTTACGTGTGACTGTATCATCCGCTACTTGTTACTGCACTCGCCGAATTATCAGGTGTGGTTTCTGTCTCTGTGCTTTATGTGCTTTGTAATAAATCTTAAGTACTATTATTATATTACTAATAGATAATGGAGGATTTTTCAATGCCATTTCGCTGTACGAAACAGAGAGGAAAAAAAATTGATAAACGTTCTTATTGTATAAAAAGCCAATAAGAGATTGGTGAGAAAAATCCTTTGTACTTATTCAAAAACATCAAGTGTGACAAATACCATTAAATTGTAAAGTTAATTTGTACTAATGTAATTAGTACACGAGCGAATACCGTGAGAAACAAACAGTACAAATGGATACCGAAATGGTCCGTAGAAGAAAATTATAGTACGAAGTTGCCGTTTGTTAAATTAATGTTCGTATTCTCAATCAAGGATCGAGTTATAAGTTAATCGATTACCGTTCTAAGTACTTGATTGGCTTTGTCTTGGTTGAAAATACGGACACAATAGAATAATAAAGGATGAAGAACAAGGTAAATTGACTAATCAATTGCAAATAACGTTTAGATAAGAACGAAGATCGGTATACATCATCGGGTATAAAAATCCCACTCATTTTTATTGGAATTTTTCGTACTTTTATCGCACTCCATCGCAATCAACAAAAGTAAAACTAGATATTGTGTATTATGTTTTTACCATTCACCCCTGCCGACTAAAATCGTTTACTTTTCCGAGATTTTTACGCATTACTAGTTTCCGACTATTATTATCGGAGTTTTAAATTTTCAGAAATTCTAAATTCTAGAAAACAAACATCTGCGTCCGCTTTTCAAGGCCCAGATAGCTTTTTTTTTCCTTTATTCCTTTTACAGGTTTTTCCCCTTCGTGATCATCGTACCAATTTCAAACTGGTACTCTGTGTATTTCCATCACGTTTCTGTCTAACGGTAATCGGTCACAAACATATTTTAAAACATCATATCGAATGTGTTACGAAAAATTAAATATTTCCTCTCTCGAATTCCGACTATAAAACTGGGAATTTATCGTTAGGAAGAACGATTTTTATCTATTTCGTTTGTATCAATTACTTTATCGTTGCACAATTTAACACAAAAATATAATTTAGGTTATAGTCTAATTTCATAATTTCTGAAATTGCATATTATAATAACGCGTGGGAAATTGGGAAATTAGAAATGTATTTAATCCCTCTCGATCGCGTTTGATTAATGAATTTTGAAAGTAAATTTGAAAGGCGCCGGACGATTATTTATAAGATGAGAATTGAAGACGACATTCGATCGAATGCCCCCCTTTAGAATATGTATTCCTAATCATTGAATTGGAAAGAGAATCGAGCAGTTGACTTTAGCATCTC